ATAACATCACAAAATGACATGTGAATTGTGTGCATAAACTCTAAACACAATTTTATTTTGTTCCTATTATCATATTATTATGATTTGTTTGGTTTTTTTGGTTACACTATTTCCTTTAATAAATGTGTAATTCGTGAATACATAGTGGAAACAATGATGAGACATCAAAGGTGTCAGCTCCTAATGTTAGAGACATCAAAGGTGTCAGCTCCTAATGTTAGAGACATCAAAGGTGTCAGCTCCTAATGTTAGAGACATCAAAGGTGTCAGCTCCTAATGTTAGAGACATCAAAGGTGTCAGCTCCTAATGTTAGAGACATCAAAGGTGTCAGCTCCTAATGTTAGAGACATCAAAGGTGTCAGCTCCTAATGTTAGAGACATCAAAGGTGTCAGCTCCTAATGTTAGAGACATCAAAGGTGTCAGCTCCTAAGTATACATGTATTACAAAATTGTGATATAATTTTTTTTTATTTGAAAATACAAACTGCTCACGTGACACAACTGAAGCAGGTACATTCCAGTTTGTCCAATCTCACGCAAGGGGATAGCCAATCAACGTCAGTCTTGACCATTCAAACAATGAGACCAGCAATGGACCAGCCTTGGCTTACATTTTTTTTTTCAAATGAGGGTTTATAAAATAATGATTCAAGACGTTATAGTCTAAACGTTAAAAGACACAATAAAGTTATTTATAAAATTTCAAATATTTTTACCGATTGAAACAAAAACTAACACGAGTTCTAATACGGGGCTTTGTAGACGTAATTACAAGGGAGATCACTCGGCCCGACTGAGTCATAGCTCTATCTCTGTCTACCTCAAAATTGTCCCCCAGCTACATTCAAATCTATTACTGTGTGTTCATTACAAAAACATTTTTGTGCAACAAGCAGGCTTAATTAAATGTCTATTTTTTTTAGTAAGTCCGCAAAACCTGAGAGGGAAAAATAAAACCCACGTTGTAGTTTGAAAATATATAGCTGTATGTAAACAAAACATTAGATGTGTTTCGGTAACCTAAATGTTTGTCTCGGTATTTAGAATTTCTTTTAAATCATTGCTCGCGCTCTTGGGGTGGACATTTTTGTTTTCACGGCGCTCGATGGTGCGTCGTCTGTGGCTCTTCAGCACGTCGTAGCTATGCGACAGCTTCCCGTCACCAAACATGGCGTTCGTTGCCATGGACACCACAACGATGGCGGCCCCGCCGAGCAGCATCGCGAACGTCCTGAACGGAAACATCTGCGTCTGCGTCGCCTGGTCGAAGAAGGGAAACTTGATGACCGGCGGAAGTCGTAGGACGGGCTCGCCGCTGAGCACGCGGACGGCGAAGCTCGCGGCGAACCCGCAGATGCAGCCGTAGCTGTTGGAGGTCGGCATCCACAGGACGAGCGTCAGCTGAGGGAAGAGGACCACGTACATGAGGTCCGAGCAGAGGATGAACAGCCCGTAGATGGTGGTGGAGAAGATGGCGATCAGCGTGCCCATGACACCGACAACTATGATGGTAAGGCGCAGCACCCACTTGAGTTCTCGTTCTGTTGCCTTTCGGGATTTTGTTGTTGTTTTTTTTGGGCCGGTGGGGGGGGGGGTGGGGGAGGGGCAAAGATATGAAATGTGAAGTAAGGTTAATTAAATGCCCAATATAAAAACAGCTTCAAACAGTTGGTTCCAGGTGGTAATCTTTACATGTGCAGGTTTCAAAAATTTACTTTTCAAGTGGCTGTTACAAAAGTTTTTATTTTGCAGTCAAGTTACATTTTGGAAGTGTAGTTTGAAAGCGTGTACCTTTCAAGGCGTGCTCTCTAAAAGTATTGTTTTCAAGGGATGCTTACTAACAGTATACATTTCAAACGATAGTTGCAAAATTGCAGTTTTCTTGAAGTTGAATAAATATATTTAACATTTAAAATACAACTAAAACAATGTCCTTTGCTTGATTGAATTTGAGGTAAATTTAAGTTTGCAACATTTGAGCCGTTATTCGATCCTAAAGTGCTAACAAATAAATAAATTAAAAATTTGCAAGCCTACCTGAGGCCTAAGGATATCGTGGTAAATATTCTTGCAGATGACCGAGCTAGTGGACAGGATGCACGAGTCTGACGACGACATGACGGCGGCTGCCACCACACCGATACCTATGATGGCCACCGGCCCGGGGGTCAGGTAACTCAGGGTAAGTGGTAGGATGAACATCTTCATGTCTGCCGGGAAGGGAAGGGGTCCTTCATAGGAAGTGGCGTTCCAATCTGCAGGCACACAAATTATAAGCTCAAACAAAAAAAGCTTGGTGGGAAATCTTTGCACGTTAATAAGAACAAAGGGTTTTTTTTATTTTTTTTATATACAAATGTCATAATGTAACTTAATGTAACTGAATTGGGGAGGGTCGGCATGTTTGCATGTTTGTTTGTTTGTTTGTTCAACATTTGAATGTTTAAGCCCGAGATCAACTTACGAGATCTAACCAAAATAAAATAAAAAATACAACAAAACAAACAACAACAAACCCAAATTAATCTCACCGCGGCCCATCAAGTCTCGTGGGGATTAAGTAAGTCCGGCCACGACAAACAGGCACACGAACAAAGTCCGCTCGTGTCACGTTAAATCAATTCTTTGAACAAGAAAATTGAATGCGAATGGCTTAAACGCAGTTAGTCTAATTGGGATGTAGTCCGCTATAAAAAAAAAAAAAATATTTCAACAGAGAGCCCCATATTACAATAGAGAGCGATATATTTACGCAGCAAGAAGACGCCATTAAAATGGGATGTGGCATGGGAGGGAGTCACCGAATCATGACTTTATCAACAGTTAGTGTAATAAAAGCTTTTACTCAAACAACTGAGTCCCCCCCCCCCCCCCCCCTGTATTATCACGTTTTATAACTACATCGTTGGTTTCAAGCGATACGAAGAATAACACATACTATCGGTACAACAGCTGTAACTCGATACCGGTACCTGCTGTTGTCCATTCGGTCTCACTTACCTGCCGTCGATACCGGTGCTTAGGTTGTCAATTCGGTCTCACTTACCTGCAGTCGATACCGGTACTTGCTGTTGTCAATTCGGTCTCACTTACCTGCAGTCGCTACCGGTACTTGCTGTTGTCAATTCGGTCTCACTTACCTGCCGTCGATACCGTACTTGCTGTTGTCAATTCGGTCTCACTTACCTGCAGCCGCCCCCGCGATTCCCATCAGGGCGGGGGGAATCGACATGAGAAAGCTGGCGATCCCTGATGCGATGGTGGCGAGAATGGCGATTCGCACCGTTTTGCACGCCAAAACTCTTTGGTACAGCGCCTGCATTCAATGGTGCAATGAGAAATCAACGCAATGATCGTTTGTGAAAAACAAAAAAAAAAATATATTATTTTCGGGGAGAAAAGAGTACATTGGGTTGGTGAATATCATTTCCGCTTTCACACCATTTGTTGTTGCCATGGTTTGGGTGAGTCAACATGGATCGGAGACACCGTGAATTGAGAGGAAAGTAATTATTCAGAGTAGTAAAAGTAAACATTTGATTTAAAAAAACCAAAAAAACTACTAAATTATTGGGTCTGTTGTAATCAACCCCACTTGACATACTGGAATCGAGGTTAGAAACATCAAACATGATTTTTGGAACCAACCCAAAGTGGTCAAAGTAGGGCGAGCTACTCTGTTTTACAAAAATTTGAACGTAACCCATACGGTTTGTCACTTCTAAGGCCGAAAAACGTCACATCGCATTACGTAAGGTCACTATTTTTAGACCACGTTTTCGTAAAACATAGCTTGTCTATCAATGTATTGCCGCGTGTATAAATGATAAAGCACTAACTCTAACACTTCTTTTGTCAAATCTTTCGTAAAATCAAGATGTCAACACGTTTCCGTCTAGGTTAAGACCCACCATACTGGCTCACATTGACGTAGAAGCACCGAACAGCTGGTGATGTTCTGTTATAAGCTTTCCGCAATGAAATGACAAACCTATGAGGTAAAATTAGCATATTTCCAACGAAATGTACGGTACACACATGGCAACGGGCACATTATAAAAACCGATGTGTTCAGAGGCGCACCAATGCGATGTGTTCAGAGACACCAATGCGATGTGTTCAAAAACAGACCAATGCGATTTGTTCAAAAACACACCAATGCGATGTGTTCAAAGACACACCAATGCGATGTGTTCAAAGACACCAATGCGATGTGTTCAAAGACATACCAATGCGATGTGTTCAGAGACACCAATGCGATGTGTTCAGAGACACACCAATGCGATGTTTTCAGAGGCATACAGATGCGATGTGTTCAGAGACACACCAATGCGATGTGTTCAGAGGCACACTGATGCGATGCGCTCAGAGACACACCAATGCGATGCGCTCAGAGACACACCAATGCGATGTGTTCAGAGACACACCGATGCCATATTGACCCACGTTATTCTAAAGACCGATATATACTCATAATTGCTTTCGAAACGAAATATTTTTTCATTACAAAAATTATTTCCGTCTTTCTCCGCCATTCTGCACCCACCATTCAAGTGGAACCCACTGTAGCCGCCGTGCCTTGCCACATATTGGATACGCCCCTGCAAGTGTTTAAAATGTGTGTTATACTCTTACTGATATAACTATAAATTATTTATTTTGCTGTGTATGTAAAAGATGACACATCTTTGGCTGACTGTTAAATAGTTTCTGATGAATTTCTTTTTTTTATTCACCTCTGTCCGTTTTACCTGCCCATGTATAATTATAATTCCCTAAGATAATTCACCTGTCAAGGTATGATTCCCTACAACTACAAGATAGCTCACCTGCCAAGGTATAATTCCCTATAAGATAGCCCACCTGCCAGGTATAATTCCCTAAAACTACAAGATAGCTCATTTGCCAACGTATGATTCCCTATAAGATAGCTCACCTGGCAAGGTATACTTCCCTACAAGAGAGCTCACCTGCCAAGGTATACCACCCAGCGAGCAC